TCTTCAGCACCAGACGGTAGGACTAGATGACAAGAATTATTTGTGGGCGCCAGTAAACAAGATATGCTAACAAAATTTAGGGTGAAGTGGAATAGGTGAATTCCACTACTCAGTGAGACAGAGATGGGATTCCTTGCTTGACGAGCCTTGCTTCGACAAGACGGTAGGACACAAGATGGAAAGATGTATTAGTTTTATTATATGCACTGATTGCATTATAAATACATCTCTTATTGCGGCATGAGCTTCACTTTAATATTGTATTTCAACAATGATTACACTTGTTGCTACATTGTTATACTGTCAGTCCTTGTTGGCCAACCTGATAAGCTGAGTCTTAACAATTACTTTATAGAAATGTGTACCCCAGAGCGACGCCGCTTTTGGGTCTGTGTTGCACTAGAATTAGATGTGTACTACTTCCGGATTGACTCCGCTTGAAGTCACTAGTTTCTGCAAGTCGTCAATTTCCAAAGACGTTGCCTCTTAACTTACCATGGTTGGTTACCTTTAAAATTTGGGGTTCACGAGAGTAATTATTTCGGCCAATGGAATTTATTTGTTAGGCGGTTGGATACTTTAAACTTGCAACGAACTTGAACGGTCATAATTGCTTTGTAAGATCGTGTAGGCAAATTATCTAGCCAACTACTCACTTCTTTTGGGTTAACCAATGTCTGAATTCTAAGAATTAATACAATGAAGGAAAACAGCAGGAAACAAGTGGCGCTGGAAATGATCAGTGTATCTGAGATCGCTTGGTTAATCTCGCGGTAGCGTACTTGGTTCATTCACTGTCATACAAGCCGGAATGTCGCGGGTTCGAGTCCCTTAGGTGCATACTTTTTCAATTTACCTAATCCTTCCAGTCGCACTAAGGCCCTGGTGTCGACTAAGCTTCTAACAGAAATGAGTACCAGGACTGTTCCTGGGGGGTAAAGGGCGGCCAGCGCTAGTGGTTAGAGTTCCTGCTTAAAGATCCAGAGTCCGGGTTCGATTCCCGGCGCTACCAAATCTTCTGAGAAGTAGTGAGTCTGGAACGGGGTTCACTCAGCCTCGTGAGGTTAATTGAGGAGCTATTTCAAGGAAATAGCGGCTCCGGTCTAGAAAACCGACATTAACGGCCGTGAGGATTCGTTGCGCTGACCACGCGACAGTAACTTCGCCGACAATCGGCGGTCGCTCGGTCGGTATTGTTCGCTTGCGGACACAAGCCACGGGGTTGGTTTGTTTTTTAATGCGTACTTCTAAAGGCCTTGTTGTTTCATCGATGCAATATCTGCCACAGTCACATGGGATCCTGAATACACACTCTTTCGTCTGCTGGGCATCTGTAACCGGTCCAGTTTTCGTCTATGTCCCACGGAGTGTATGTTTAGTCCTGAAGATGGTTCTGACATTGAAACGTTTCCCGATGCGTCTGAATTTCTCGGAACTTGATACACGGGATGACGACTGGGCCCTGGTATACTGTGCCGATGGCTTCACTACAGATTTAACGAATTCTTTTGGATATTCACTGAGCATCAGATCATGCCTTATGTTCTTAATTTCGTTGTTAAAATCCTTCTGATTTCGACAATGACCTTCACTCAGGTGACCAAATTCTGAAGGTTTTAGATAGGCTAGTGAGACTTTTGTTTCTGTTTTCTGTCCGTTAGCTTATTAATTCTGGGATGACTTGAAGTGACAGCCAAACAGAGACAGTCAAAAAGTTGCAGGCGGATGCTCCGTTTCATTGTAAGAACATTAATGGCAGAAAATGCAGTTTCACAAACATATGTGATGGAAAAACAAAGAAGAAATATCATTGCTATTTCATGTAAATTTGGATATTCATTCTTCATAGAATTGAAAGTACTTTCTAGTCCTTTGTCCGATGATAATTCAATAAGTTTAAGGGTTTCTGTATGGAAAATTGCTGTCTCTTTGTTTTCGACAAAAGGGTTTACAGTCCACATATCTTGCCTCTGGGAACCTCATGTTAGGCATAATATTTTTCAAACAATAACAACATTTTCAGGTGGGCTGCAATAATATCTGAAACTGAATTCTGTGAATAGAAATCATCTGCTTCCATAATGTAATCTGAGTACGACTGAAACATTTCATTGTTTCCTTCTGCAATCATATTAAGCCAGAGTTTGAGTTTCCTTTTGAAGGATTCGATCTTGTTCCAAGCACTAAATACTGTTATAATCTGGCCCTTGACGTTTTAAATTCAACTTGTTTATGTACGAAAGTATGTCGCTGAGATAACGCCAGCCTGGCTTTCCATTTATTATCCTGGAAATAATGGGTCAAGTCGCTTTGCTTATCAATTAGAAACAGCTCAACTTCCTTTCGGAGTCCATATAACCTCTTGAGAACTTTACCGCGGGACAGCCAACGAACTTCCGAATGGAAAAAAAAAAAGATTTTGATGATCAGGGCCCATTTCATCGCATAAAAGCTTTTAACAGTTTTGTATTTAAAGCTCTGTTTTTATACAATTAATAATTTTAACAGATTGAGACAGGACTTCATTAAGCTCAGGTGCCATATTTTTGGAGGCCACGTTCTGCCTATGAATGTAGCAATGCGTTGACAATAAGTTATTGCCAGCCATATCCTTAATTTTAGTGACTGATTCTGAATTTTTACCTGTAAGGCACGCAGTGCCGTCAGTACAGACTCCAAAGCAGTTTTTCCATTCAAGACCTTTCTCTTCTATGAAACCATTTAAAACTTCGAAAATTTCACTGCTGGCAGTGTGCGTAGGTAATTCAGAAACATTTAAAATGTCTTTCTTCATGTTACTTTCATCATGGTCAATATGTCGCACATGCGTAAGTATAATGCTGCTGTCCTGAATATCGGTAGATTCGTCCAGTTGTAATGCAAACAATTTCGATTTTTTAATTTTTTCAATGATTTCGCGTTTCTGTGTCTTCTGCCATATCAGATATCCGCCTTACAAGTGTATCATTCGACAATGGGATGTCTTTCATTTTGCTTGCCGCACACTGTCTGATATTTCTTTACAATTAGCAATCAAAGAAGGCTTAACGAGTTCTTCGCCAACGGAGTACAGGTTTTTACATTTGACTATCTCTAATGATATTAAATAGGATGCCGTCAGAAGTGAAGCCTTCGTGGCTGAAGCTCTGGAAATAATTTCCTTTTCTATATTAAGTACATCTCTTTTAGGCATAAAGAATTCAGTGTGTTTGTTGACTAGATCGGAATGTTTTGTGTTGAGATGTCGGGTAAGTCGCGATGGCTTCACAGCTTCATTTCCCAGAACAGTAACACAACTGACACAATGAGGTCGTGGCAGTTGGTCAGTGTCAGGGCCTCGTATGAAACAGGAATTAAAATAGCTCTCCGTGTATTTAAGAGTGAATGCAGAAGTTTTCTTCTGTGTGCTGGTAGTTGTCTCCTCCTTTTGTACATCCTGGAGATCGCTCTGTAGGCTTCAGGTGGATGAATCACTATTTGTTGCGTCACAAACACCTTTAGTGCGAGATTTCTTAACACCAAAATTAAACCAAGTCCCTTGTCCTTTATTCATAATATAACTTAATTCTGTAGGCCTATTAATTTTAAAGAACCACGGAACTCGGGTTTCGAAACAAGGACTTACACACTGCAATGCGAACTTGCGAAGAAACAGTATCCAGTATTAGTAGATCTGAGAACCGGATGCAGACTGCCTTGATCTTCAATTTCAATGGAAAAATGTTCTTTACACTTCCTTGCTGAGTGGTCACTGACATTTGAAACACGGATGTTATTTCGTTCAGTTTTGAGAACAAAGGATACGCTGCCCATTGTTGTAATCGTATTGCGGGAAATTTCTATGTGACCAGTCCTTCCCTTTCCTGAATGTTGAGAAAGATTCGATGTCTGAAAATTCCCGATCATTCATGAATACTTCTATATTTAAAAACACGCGGCTTGGTCGCCGACATTTGCCACACAGATGTTATTTAGGCGTTCTGGGTACGAGCTTTTCGATACATTCACGAATATTATTCTCCTCAGAATATTTCCGCTATAAAATATTTATTAATGAAGAATGCTTATAAATCTAAAATGACAAATTCCAGGAGAGCCCCTTGCGGCCCGATATAATTTATGCCAAGGCCCGGTACCGGGCAGCGGCCCGGCGGTTTAGAAACACTGTTCTAGAGACTGAACGAGAAGATAGAAGTTTTGAACTGAAATATAGCAAGCATTACCCGAATTTACTCTGCTATTAATTTCCTTTGGGATTAAATTTTTATTTATTACTGGTGTTCCAAAATATTTTAACTTTGCTACATTTTCGAAACGAACAGTATAAATTATGAAGCTCCTCGTTATGTATTATTTCCCAAGCTGTCATTATTCAACACCTCTTAGTTCCAGTTGTTCTCCTCGGGTCCTTATTTCAAACATTCTCAGTCTGTGTTCTTCCCTTGTTATGACAGGCCATGCTTCACACGCATAAAAAAAAGAGATAATATTTAATTCTCTATGATTTAATCCTTACGCTTGTAGATAGCAAATAGAAAGCCAAAAGTTCCTGAACTGAGCGGTAGTAACAATTCCCCAAGTTTAATTCACCCGTAACATTTCCATCGACGCAATTTTGCTTTGTTAGCCTCGTTTCCAGACACATAACTCCGGCACATTTTCTAAGAATCTGTTGGCTATTTTTATGGGTTTGTCCTGATAACCAGACAGGAACGTATGTCAGTTTCCTCCTCGTGCAAATTATTATCATTGGCCAGAGAGTGACGTGTTTCATTGCACTGCAAACATCCTTTTTTATTATTTTTTATGCCCTTCTACTGATGCGTTCCAAAGAAAAGGTTAAAAAAAACATGGCGATAAGCCATTTAGTTATTTCAGACCAATGTGAATAGGACACTCATCCGACAAAATTTCGAGTTTAATGAAAATAGTCCTGAGCCGGGAAAGAGCCGGGGTAGCGCAGTCGGTATAGCTACTGGCTGGACGACCGAGGAGTCGGAGTTCGCATTCCGGTAGGGTCAAGAATTTATACTTCTCCATGTCGTTCAGACTGGCTCTGGGGTCTATAGAACCTCCTATCTAATAGGTACCGGGGTTCTTTCCCCGGAGGTAAAGCGGCAGGGGCGTGAAGCTGACCAATCACCTCCAACTAGTGCCGAGGCCAATAAAATATGGATCTGTACATCCACTCCCCCATACGCCTTCATGGCGTAGTGCTTAATTATTTAAGTACAGGAACAACATTTTATGTAAGATTTGAGGTTTTCACGGCGGTGACTATGAAGAATGCCGTCTTCTGGGATGTGGCGCCATGTAGATCTTGTGTGAACCGAAGCTTCGGAGGAAAGTATCGCTTCCATCTTTAGGGTAGAAAAATCCGCGAGCAAGGAACCAGCTTCAGTAGGTGGGATAGCGTAGTCAGTTTAGCGAGTGGCTGGGCGTCCGAGGGGTCGGAGTTCGAGTCCCGGTAGTGTCAAGAATTTTCACTTCCCCATGTCGTCCAGACTGACTCTGGGGTCCACCCAGCCTCCTGTCTAACGGCTTTTTTCCCCGGGCGTAAAGTGGCAGTGGCGTGAAACTGACCACTCACCGCCAACTATTGCCGAGGTCAAGATCTATACATCCACTTCCCTATACGCCTTCATGGCGTATTGCTTAATTAGTTAAGTATAGGGACAATTTTGCCTTTTTTTAAAGCTTTTATAAGAATATTGCACAACGGAGTAATAGTCGAAGAACACTAAAATGTAGATTTCGGGAGCCCTTCTTCTGCGGTCTCGGCCCTGAAGTGCTATGCTACTGGAGGCAGGTCCAAGTGGAGAGCTACAAAGTAGATAACTTTCAGTCCAGTATGACATACAGGTTTTACAACACTTCAGTCTTTATTCGCCTTACATGTTTCGATTCAAAAGAATCATCTTCAGAGGCGCACCACTACGAGCAGGAAACACTGTCACATAAGTTGTTTTAACATTATGCACTTAGGTTATGAATAGTGCTCACTATATCACAGTTTGCCCTATGCAGCCACGTTGACGTGTAGATTTTCGTATGATGTTCCCTTTAAGCGTATTTGCTGAGTATTCGATTGGGTTTCCCACTGCACGCAATGTGATGTTCACTTTTCCATAAAATAGCTTCCCTATGTATTTAAAATTGTATTAAAAATCTTTTGTATGTAAAAAATTAGTTATTATGTTAAAAATCGTGAACCAGCATTGGATTATGCTGTTTTTTCTTCCGGATGGTAGAAGATGTCGACACAGCACGCACGTAAACTACACAACTAACAATAAGAACATACAACCAAGAGAAGTGATCGACATCTTCTACCATCTGGAAGAAAAAAAAACACAATAAATTAATGACGGTCCCAGTAAAAGTGGTATCAGTTGTTGCACCGAACAGATATCGCAATCTCAGTGCCATATGAACTCAATGAACCATGACAGACTAGAATTAATAGTGACGCTTCAGCAGCCATTTCTCTTAGTTTTTCAGATATTCTCGAGCTCACGATGGCGCCCGTGCTTCTGCTTATAGTATTCTGTTTAACTTTGCTTTTGCTGTACATATTCTCCAAGCAACGGCCACCGAACTTCCCGCCAGGTAAAAGCTTGTAAAATGTCTACAGAATTTGTCTGCTATTTTGTTTCTTTGCGTTCTAACAACGCAACTACTCAGAGACTAACAACAAGCGTTTAAACTACTACTGCTATAATTAAACATCGCTGGTGTGTCCCAGAATCTGGTGTCTTGAGCGCATTGTTGTCGCACTAGTTCAAGCGGCTTGAGTCTGCATCTCAGTATTACACTTACACTACACTAATTCACACGGCTTGAGTCTCTTGAGCCTTCTCACTGTCCTCTCGTTGTGAAGAAGCTGTACCGCTTCCACGTTGGTGGTCGTGAAGCAGATCTTCGTGCTTCATAGCTATCCTTCTAATTTCAGCTGTGATAATCCTAATACCAAGATCCGTGTGGATGTTACTATTACGGGCGTACCAAGGGGCATTCACCATTCACCTCAGCACTTTGTTCTGAAATCTCTGTATCCTTTGGATGTTATTCTTACTGGCACAACCCCACGTCTGCTAAACTCACAAGAGAAAAATACTCATATGGTAATGATATTTGTTACAGGCTATCTAATTCCAGTGAAAGACACTACTTATTAAAATACGTTTCCTTTTTATTATAAATGAAAATTAGGCATTTGTCGTGTTTATAGCAGTTCCATACTGACCCTAAAATGCGTTAGTTAATCAAGTTTAGTCTTATTCTTCCATATATGTCTAGGTCTTCAAAATCGTTTCTTCTATTGAGATTTTCTTACTAGAATAACATAACATTATGTGTACGTATTATGGCAATACGTATATACCGTTAGCGCTTAAGTATGCTTAAAGATCTGTATGCTCGTGCATAGTTTCATAAAACCTTTTGATTATGAAAAACGTCATTGTTTCTTGTATCGCATTGGATTTCATATTGTATTCTTATAATATACTATTGACTTTTTCTTAATCATCTAATTTTTTTGCCATTTTCTTGATTTCTGATCGGGTACTGAAAATCTGAACGAGCCGGCCTTCATAACACTTTCGCCAAAGAAATGAGGGAACATTTCATACGTGCAGCACGTGCGAAGAGACGGATTCGAATTCTGTATTTGAACTTCCTGTTGCTTTACTACGAGTATATCTAACACTGTTTGTTCTGCTACACAGTCCGTCAACAATGCAACGAACCGTTCCCCCTTTCTTTCACTTTCACGTTCGGCACAAAATATTTCGGCTCTAAATGGCCCTATTCATGTGTCTTGCTATGCAAGGGGCAAAGTGAGTATAAAGTAAACAAACATAACATACAACAATCAAAAACAATATTAACATGTGGGATCCTGCAGATTAGAGATTGCAGACGTAACACAACAACGGGCGTACGAACAGAAAAACAGGCTACTTCAATAAAATTCATTCATCAGTAATCTGTCAAGACGACAGGTCCACAGTCTCTTCCAAAACAGTTCCTCCACTTGATGCGATCTAGAGCTTTCTCCTTCAAATGAAAATATCCTCTTCTGTCCTCAAGGTCATCAAGCATCTTCTTACGTCTTCTGGTCACTTATATCCGCCACTCTATCTTTCCTTCAATAACTTCTTTTAGAAGGCAGTTACCGCGTAAGATATGACCAATCCAATTAGCCTTCCGTTTTCTTATTACATGTAGGATATTCCTCTGCTCATTCATTCATTCATTCATTCATTCATCCATCAGTAATCTATCAAGACGACAGGTCCACAGTCTCCTCCAATCTGAAGAAAATGATACAGATCAAAACAAGTGGACGACGCCTCAGGTGTAATAAAAATTTTACAAAATTTTAATAGATTTTGATTTAAAATAAGTGAACTACAGTGTATACAAGTTAGACTACGATTACAACGGTTTGAATAACGAAGCGTGCAGTTGCATATGCGATGAATGGATAATATTAGTGCAGTGTAGCAGTTTTACCATAGTAAGACACCTGAATATGGCCATTTAGGGTCGAAACATGTTGCGCTGAAAGTGAAAATGTAAGAAAGAAGGAACAATTTGCTGCATAGTACATAAACAGTTTTAGCTTAATACCAAATTGAAAATTTTGTATCTATCAGAAAAACTGAAACCACTGGAGCTTGTAATTCATAGAAGATCCAAAATGTAACTATTAATGCAAAGAATGTGAAAATATCTTATCCCTTTGTAAGATTTGAGGCTTTCACGGCGGTGACTATGAAGAAAGCAGTCTTCTGGGATGTGGCACCGTGTATATGTGGTGTTAACCCCACATATACACGGTGCCAAATCCCAGAAGACTGCTTTGTTCATCTTATCCCTTTGCTTCNCAAAATGTAACTATTAATGCAAAGAATGTGAAAATATCTTATCCCTGTGCTTAGATTTCACGCAAACTCAGCTTTGTCTACTATTCCTGCGCAAGAGATAGTTTATTTCAGACAGATCTGGGTCTGTTAACTTCGAAATATGCGACACGAAACCCAGTGAGTGCACTTCCTGCGGTTGCCACGAAGGAGTAGTAAGAATAGATCCTAGCGAAATATGCCCCTGTATGAAAGATAACACACACAACATTATTCCCAGTGGCATCAGAAAATTGCACTGTTTTCACATGGACGTAGAGGCGAGAATAGGAATTCGATTAGGTTCAAAAGATCAGGAAATTGTTTCAGGGGGGTTGACAAGTTTATTTAATTAACTTTGTTCTATTCCCCCTCCAGCTTATATCCTTCGTTGCTTAGAGATTTCACTAGTCCGTGCACAATCTGTTTTATGGCAACTTTTAAACCTAAAATTTCCTCTTGCCCACCGTTAGACCACCTCACAGCTTAATATACTCGTATATCTAATTTCCCGTGACCCATCATCAGATCGGCGCATATAGACATCGATGCTGGGACGCCATTAGACACACTCACCCAGTACCACAATCTAAACCTGCAGCCCAACGGTGAGATTTGAGATTTTCACAGCGGCCGAGGGTTTAGATTGTGGTCGCAGGATTTCTGATACCATGTAGTTTTGTGAGTGGCTACTTATACTCTGAGGAAGAGAGGAGTGGACTTCTCCGAAATGTCGTTAACAACCAAGAATATCATAATATCTTACTGTTTTCTAGGTCCTCCCCGCCTGCCAGTGTGGGGGAGCTACTGGTTACTGCTCCTGAATAATTTCAAATTCACTCACATTGGCTTCCATAAACTGGCGCAGAAGTACAACACCAAAGTCCTGGGCCTGTATCTTGGGTCCTTTCCAACCGTAGTGGTCAATGACTACGAGAATATCAGGGAGGTGCTAACTCGACCAGAATTCCAGGGCAGGGTCAAAATGTTTGTCACAGATGTGCGAACCTACAACAAGAACCTGGGTGAGTATAGGTTAGGTTACATGTCCCCTGAAGAGTGATCACACTTAGGCTATTCTCTGCGTTTTGTGCACACTCGTGAGCATTTTCGGAACTCACATCGCGCAAAACTTGCGAGTGTATGAAATTTGTGTGGACATTCACGCGAAATTTCCGAAGTTGTGAAACGCCTTTTTTAACAAAGTCTTTTGTCAGCACTTTGAACAAGATCATGCATCATTCACTAGAGATCGCCGACCGATCACTCCGTTCTTCATCGTGAACGTTTGCCCTCCCGCTCATCTTTGAACATTCTACACCACTGTCTTGCAGGTCCTTCATTCATAACATTTTGGCCGTAAACTGCGCATAATTCACGATGGCCTTCAGCAGCCCTCATGTTTGTAGCATGAAGAAAGCGGATAACAACGAGAATTTCGCAGCTTGCGGGATTATCTGTCGCAGGAAACATCATGATAGACCCGTTACCAGGCAACGGATGTCCTTCTATTGTTGAGAGCATAACTTCGGGAATGTGTTTACTGAGCCGTTGTCTAGCAATGGACATATCCGTCATAATATTAACCATACGAAAGACTTTAATTAGTTATTTAAGTAATATGCTTTTTTGCTTACGATACGCTGTTCTTGGCAAATCATGAACTAAACTTCCTGTTTTCTTAGAGTAGTATGTAAATCAACGTACAAATACATGCTTCTGGACGTTTCTTAAACGTAATATAACACATTTATTTCATTATTTTTTTGTTTACCATTTATCTGAAGCAATTTTCCCTTTGAAAATGTGTATAGTTCCATTCTGCAAGACGAATTTTTGAAACGCTCTGCGCATGTGTGTTATAGGGATTATTTTTACGGATGATGTATTTTGGGAGCAACAGAGGCGCTTCTCATTAAGACATATGCGGGACTTTGGGTTCGGAAGGAGATTTGCTGAACTGGAAAGTATCGCTAAGGAAGAGATACAAGATATGCTGGACCTTCTCAATGGACGGCGCGAGGATAAGGTAATAATAACAGATCAATTCCGTAGACTAGAGCTTTTCTGAGAAACTGATGGTCGTCCAACTAGTCACNCAGTTCTTTATTTTTAACGCGCCAACTTAACAACTACAGAAGCCAAAAAAAAAAGTCAACACAAACAAATAAAAACGGGTGAAACATATTAAAAAAATACATAAATAACAGGCGTTCAATCATCGTGAAAACCTGGAAACAGCGTCGAGCGAGCATAGCATTCCTCACAGATTGCTGCTGTAACTGCCGATAGCAGAATGGGTCATCAGCGCTGATAAACGCGCGCACTCTCGCTAGCGTAGAGAGGATGGAACATTTCTCCGCGACTACTGTGCCCTTCCCCGCTAGTGAGAGTGCAGTCGTGTCGCAGATTCCTTCACACCAGTTTCTGTACATGCGCACATTTATAGGAATACTATAAAAAGATAACACAAACTTACTGTGCTTTATAATAGATGCTGGAAGTGACCCCCTTCTGCTTGCAAACATGCCTCGCATTGCATAAATAAATCATGCTACATTTTCTGAAGTTGGTCCACGGTAATTGAACTAATTACACGTGTTATTTAATTCCGCAGAGCTTCAGTGGTGCGAGGATTATTCTTGTAGACTTTTCCTTTAGGTTTCCCAAAGATAAAAATCGAAAAAAACTGAGATCTGGGAGGCCCCAGTCCTCTGCTGATTGTTCTGTCTTCAAACACTTCCCGTATTGCGACCATGGATGCATTAGACGTATGTTTTGTAGCGTTGTCTTGCTGAAAATACCCATATGGTCTCTCTCCAGCAGTCAGCTGATTGAAGAAGGGATTCAGTATATCATTAAGGTAGCGGTCAGAGTTCACGATTTCGTGGAAGAATAAAGGGCCACGGACTTACAGCACACCACACCCCCACCATTTTACTATGTAATGGCACCTGCTGTATAGCGTGAGGATTTTCATCGCTCCGTATTCTTACGTTTTGTGCATTGGCATGGCCACAAACGTGAAACCACGCTTCATCAGTCATGAACAGAAGCTGTGGATCCATGACTCCATTGTGCACATTTTGCAGCGGCCAGTTGCAAAAACGAATTCTTGCTTCATAATCTGGTTGTTTCAGCTCATCCACAACTGTTATTTTATACAGGCGAAATTTGATTAATTTTGTGACTGCGAAAGCAGATCCTAGCGGAACACCGTTTTCCTGTGCTAAGCGTCTTAACGATTTTCGAGGAGTGATCTGTAGTAGTGTCTCAATATCCCGAACATTTTCTTCAGTCAGCACAATCCTCTTCGATTGCTTCTTTATGTCACACACTGAACCTGTGGCCCGCCACTTTTTCACAAGCTTGGATACACACGATTTTGTGAGAACTGGCGCGTCAGTATATTTACGACGAAACTTCTGTGAGTTCTTTCTTGCAAACGTTTTGACAACAAACACACGCTGTTCATTAGTGAACTTCATTTCAGTATAAACGTCGACAGCTTACTGACATCTCTAACACAGACTGACTATTAATGCTACTTATGTGCAGTGACAAGATCACGCCAGCCGACGGCGCGCATTTGTCAGCGCTTATGAATCATTCTGCTATCCACAGTTACAGCAGCAATCTGTGATGAATGTTGTGCCCGCTCGATGCTGTTTCTAGGTTTCCTCGATTATTGAACACCCGTTATAAGACACTATAATGTCAAGTGGGATTTGTGGTGGACAAAGTGGCGCTGGGGCAGGTTTTCTCAGAGTACTTCGGTTTCCTCTGCCAATCTTCATTCCACCAATTGCTCCACAATCGCCCTCACCTATCATCTGGGACTGGTACAATAGGCCAGAAGTGGCCGCAGTACAAGGGACTTAGTCCCACCCCACTAGCAATAACAAAAATGACACTATAATGCATAGAAGTGTACTATAACAACAACTCAGATCTGTTTCTGGATATGTTTTAGCGGCGGACCACTTCCAAGACGCTAAAGAACTGTGTTCTCTTTCAGGAGATTTTCTCAGACGGTTTCGCCCTGGTACCTGACCTTTTCCATTCAGTATTTTACAATGCCTTATGGTTCATAATAGCCGGACAACGATTTCCTACCAAGGAGCACGATAAATTGCGATATTTTACTCGACAAGCCCTTCGCTTCCAGAAGTCTATCGATGTCACAGGGAATGCGATTGCGCAGACTCCCTGGATACGACACTTCGCGCCATATTATTCTGGATATAAGGATCTCATGGAGTCAACAGCAAATTTGCTCAAGAACATGGAGGTAATTCTATTGCTAACTGCTATGGATGGGGGAGGGGCACACGGTAGCATAATTGGTTGAGGCACTAGACTACAAGACGGAAGGTCACGGGATCGAGTCCTGATGAGGTCATTGTTTTTTTTTCAATTTACCTATTTTTTTGCAGCCGCACTGTGGCCCTGAGGTCGACTCAGCCTCTAACAGAAATGAATATCAGGAATCTTCCTGGGGGTAAAGGACGGCCGGCGTGTAAGGCCGACAACCTCACCGCCATCTTTGAGCCAGTTGTATAGAGAAAATGTGGGAGCCTCGAATTCTCACAACCCTATGGACCTTCATGGCTTGTTACAGTCGTTGTTTACATTCCTTACAGAACGGACAATACCTTGTAAATGAAGCAACGACTAAATAATTAACATTAACATTACCACAAAACATAATACATCTCTGGATCGACCATCTTTCAATTTTCATGGGTACGCCTCTTTGTCGTGGAGAATGATGGGATAATACATGTAATACCTAATATCTATGAACAATTTCTTCCCTCTTGGTATGTGATGTTGAAAAATGCAAAGTAGGTCCGTTTCGAAATACGGTGTCTTAGTCTTGCGCCACATCTGTACTCAACATACAATATTTCTAATCACATTTTTTTCATTTAGAGGTTTCTGTTCAGTAATATAGCAATTGCTTGGGCTAATATCACGATGTTGGGCCAGAAACCCGGGTATCTATTTTGTGTTTCCTTGGTTTGATCAGTCCTGTGACGCGGGGCAATACTTACTGGCTACGAACTACTCTTTTCTTGTTGTTCCCCATTCAGTTTCAATTCAGCAGTCACCTACCTTCTTGAGATAATACAACGAGGGCAGTGTTAAGGGATCTGGTCTAACATTGTATCAGTAATGTAGTATTATTATTGTTATTTCAAGCATATTCACCATTTATTTTGCCAGTCTGTCGGTCACCAGTTTAGTGGCGTAAGAGAAACAATGTTCTTACACCGCAGACACTCCTCCACTCAACATACTGATACTGCAGACACTCCTCCACTCAACATACTGACACTGCAGCCACGATTTTTCCCAACATACTGACACTGCAGACACTCCTCTTTCCAACATATTGACACTGCAGACACTCCTCCACTCAACATACTGACACTGCAGCCACGATTTTTCCCAACATACTGACACTGCAGACACTCCTCCACTCAACATACTGACACTGCAGACACTCCTCTTGCCATCACACCAACATTACAAACACGTATTGATACCACAGACACTCCTCCACTCAACATATTGACACTGCAGACACTCCTCTTTCCAACATACCGACACTGCAGACACTCCCCCACTCAACATACTGACACTGCAGACACTCCCCCTCTCAACATATATTCTACACTGCGTTAGAGTAAGATATTTGTTACAGGAAGCGGTCACCGAACATAAGGCGACTTATTCTGAGGATTACACACGAGATTTCATAGACGTATATCTCAAGGAGATGAAGAAACACGAAAATGCTCAAGAACCTTCCACTTTCTCTGGTGAGTCTCATTTTCCTGTACTGTCAAAAAGCCACATATCAACACCCAATATCTTACACAGACTAGGAACAGATAAACCGATTTCAATTATCTTAATAGTTTGCATCCTGTTGTGTGTTATACACGTATATAATAAGGATCCTTTTTGAAGAATTAAATGCAAATAGATAGATTCAATTCAGCAACTGAGACGGGTATCATTGGACGCCTGATGATGACCCAGTATAAGGGTCGAAATATGTAGCGTCAATAAAAACAAATGTTGATACAATAGTGACTACTTTGTTTTTAAATACATAATATTATGTGATTGCATACTTTTATATATATCTATATACCGATTTTAATTGTTTCTTGCTTTATAGGGTTTTAATTGATTATTTTTATAGAGGAGCAGCTGCATGTAACGGGTATAGATTACTTGTTCCCCGCCTCCACTACTGTGACAGCCACCCTCAATTTTGCCATGGCGTTCCTGATCAATTACCCAGACGTGCAGACTAAAATGCAGGAGGAGTTAGATGTCGTAATCGGGCGTGACCGTCTTCCCACCCTGGATGACAGGACGAGGTCAGTAAAAGGAGATCCATTACAAATTATCATTCACTTGAAAAATATAAACAGCGCTTACGTAACAAATTTATGGCACTTTCTGTAAAACTGAAAAGTAAAAAGTCACGGCATCTGATGTTAAATAATTAAATAACCCAGTATTGATGTTTTCGTGAGCTAACTGGCAACACTGGCCAGTTGATACGTGTGAGAGTAGGTGACTACATAATTCAATTTACATCGCTATTTTAATTAGTGTATTGTTTCCAGATTTTTGTTCCTTAAAAGCGACAACAGAAATCTGTTCAGACTTTCAAGACGACTTTTGGACGAGCTTGACACTGGGGGCAAAATGGTGATTAGTGATAAGGCCCAGGTCTTTCAGTATTTCCTAAAAATAAGACGCCAAATTCTCCAAAGCAATAGTTCATAGTCTCCGAGATAGAAGAAGGCGAAGTCGAAATAAGAGTTCAAGGACATGATAATTTAAACTTCTTATATAAAAATATGTTAGCTATTATCAATATTGTCCTCTAAAAGAGTCAGCTAAATGCCTATAAGTTGTCGAAAAGACCAGATCTTTGGCCGGAGAAGTAGATTTTCGAATGCCAAAAATATGTACCAGTAATTTAATTCTATGAAAAAGCCTGGCAAAGCGCTGCGTGGCTTTTTCGTATTACCTAAAATAAAAGTTTCCCTGCAAGCATCTCATTTTAATCGTTTTAAGAGATCAGAGATATGTGATGATAGTACCAAAAGGAGTTTCTAGAAATTACTTTAGCAAAGCTTTCAGACATGACAGATGATTTAGAAATGATGCAGGCCTGTAAAAGCAGAACACGAGCTCGAAGTGCGAATACGCTCACTGATCACATTGTTCCGTGTTAGTGTCGTGACCAATACTAACGGGTTCTGGATTTCATGATTGGATTTCACAAACCGTAACTACAAATAATTATAACACTCCAAAGTTTACTGTAACTGTAGCACACAAAATAAAGTCATCAGCACCTGCTTTCCCTAGTAGTTGCTAGGCAACAGATCTCAACAATGACTATGCCTTCATAATGTTTTCACTATCTGCTTCCTGGCAACGGCTTTTAACACAGGAGCTATATGAGTCATTCCAGATATCACAATGAAGTCTTCTTGCCATTTCTTGTTAAATTACCTTGGAATGCCGACCCTCAGAACTCGAAACAGTTCTCCAATGCTAATTCTCTATTCCAATTCTCTGATCCATTTCCCTGATTCCTGCTAGTCAAAGTCAAACAAAGTTATGTTATGACCGACGGTCGGTCGGCCAGTCTGTCATGGAATAAAGCACCCGTCTGGGGCTTAAGACCATCTTTATTACTGTCAGACAGTTGCGGGTTTGCTGATGTCGGGCGCTCTCTCTGATGAGAGGACGGGTCTCTCGTTTGCCAGTAATAAGTCTGCTGTCAGTATGTCCGGTTTACATTTTACATGCTATTAAATGTATATGTACGAGTATATACAGAGCTTCTGTCAGTCCAGGCTCAGTATAGCAGATCGTGCCCTATTATTAGTAGCTTCTGCTACGACGGAAGACTAGTCACTTGAACGGTCGTATGCTTGACCGCCGCCAAGTTTAAGTCTCTTATATTTCCTGTGTCGGGGTTCGCCTTGTCCAGTGTTGCGAACATTTGCATTTTCATGATTTTGTATTACTTCTGCTTCTTGCCTGCATAATTTTGTTATATAATCATATGTGTATATATATATATATAAACGGAAGTTTGAAAGCCATATGCACATCACGAACAGGTATGCGCCTTGGAAAATTTCCAATGGTGCGGATAACCTTGTTTTGCAGGCGCTGCAATTTCAGTACATGATTTTCTGACGCAAAATTCCAGGCGGGGCAAGCATAAGTCATGATACTCCTAATGAGTGCTTTGTGGAGGGTCAGTTTACTGTTAGTGCTTAATCGCTCAATTTTGAATAGGAATATATTCTAATGAATGTTCTGAAGGCCTTGGCTTCTATCATTTCTATGTGTAATCTCCATGTAACTTTCTTATCGAAGATTACGGCAACATATTTTACACCCGCAGACATAGCAAACCTTCGGTATATAGCCTCGGCGCGGACCCCATAGAAACACCTTCCTTTGTCATTGCAGAGATGTTACCATGCAGTGTCCTAGCAAACAGTCTCGGCGCTGAACTACAGAAAACACCTTCGTGTCTCGGGGCGTATTTCTACAGCCGCGTGTTTACAGCTCTGTTGCCTAGCAGTGGGTATACACGTTACAATACATTATATGAACAATCGGGCTATTTGCCAGGCTTATATATCCTTAGTACACGCGGATTTAACAGAAGTTGTGATGCAAAACTAAAAGTAACGGTACACATACTGTCCAGATTACCATACAACGAGGCGTTCCTCAGGGAGGTGATGCGCAAAGAGACGTTAGTTCCGCTGTCCGTGGCTCACAGAGCCATAGAAGACACTGAGCTTGGTGGCTACAGCATTTCCAAGGTGAGTAATTGTAAGAGTATATTTATAAATCTTAGTAAAGCTTATATCAATCTAAAAGGCGCACTTGTCAATTGGGAGTAACTTGATGCAGGACACAGTGGTTATGGTGAATCTGTGGAGCTTCCATAAAGACCCCAACTTCTGGGGCGATCCTGAGGTATTCCGTCCCGAAAGGTTCCTGAACGCGAAGGGCGAGCTGCTCAAGAAGGACTTTTCTTTGCCTTTTGGAGCAGGTCAGTGTTATTCAGAATTAAATCTTTTAGATTGAGACGCCGTGTACACAGAGCGTCGTTCTCGATTTGGTAGCAGTTCTGCTTCGAATTCTGAAGACCATATGTTCACACCCTGGCACAGAGACCGGCTATACTGACTAAAATTATTTTAATTTTCCTCAATCTCTCCAGGAAAATGCCTTAAATAAGGCATGACCGTTTCCTTCCACGTTTTTCCCGATTAATTACTCTTTAATCGTCCTACCTTTCGGCACTATATAGCTAGCAAAACAAAACAAACTCCGTGGCCTGTAGTCTGCAAGCGAACTATACCAACCGAGCGACCGCCGCTTGTCGGTGAAGCTAGTGCCAACTTTTGCGGATAGAGGGTGTCGCGTGGTTAGCGCAACGGATCCCTACGGCCGTTAATCTCGGTTTTCTAGGCATTTTAGGCAAAGTCTTGGCATTCAGATAACCTTCCTCGGCTTCCTGTTTCAAATCAGCCAGAAAATGTAATATTTGTAAAATATTGGAAATGTTCAGATTATCCATATAAAATTCATTTAATTTTTATGTGAATTGGTAAAGCTCTCTTTTAAAACAAGAAATGTTGTGATGTCTAGTTTCTTTTGTTGACAGAGTTTCCTGCGTATTAAATACCTTGTTTATTATTTACTATCATCAAGAGCATTTTACTGCATAACAGTGCTTTATAAAACATGTGGGTGAACTACTATATCAACATCCTAGCGAGCACAGCTGCCATACAGTCTGAGCTATTGATGGTGTTGTTATATATACCCTAACAGTAGACACCGTGTGGTCTGATAATTACGTGTATGCTATAACCCACTCACTGCCTTGTGAACAGGAATATGCCTATGAATATTGCGTAACACAGTGAAGTAGAGCAATTCTATGCTGATTGCATCCCGGGCAAAGGTTCTCAAACTCGGAGCCAATACTGCCCGACCTTCGTATCTCGTTGAACTTGAGACCCAATGTCGGGGGGCACGGTTATAAATTTGACAAAAAAGACACTAATATCTACGACTTTTCCAGATTTCGGTATAGACTTTTTATTAAAAACTGGAAGTGTGGCACTGTCGAAGTTAAAACTCACGCAATGGGAATGTTGCGCTTTCTTTACTGTTGTAAGTTCTTTGACTCATAGACTACGTGAAGAAAGAGCATATAGAAGATCGTCTTCCACATTGCGTCTATTTCTGTGTATTGGTTTCAACTTGAAGCGAAGTTAATTATACTAGTTCACACTTCTAAGTTGATGGGAATAGCAGAAGAAATCTTAAAAAGTTTTCTGAAAGTGCTAGATCATGCAGGAACCTGAGTATCCATAACAGTGTTTCCGAAAACGATGAAAACTCGAATTCGGTGCTGGGTGTCAATTATCATTGCTATAGAATTTCCTTGTGCAATTTCCGGTATTTCATCAGAGTCAGATATGAAAAGAAGTTTGACCAGATGAAAGATATTGTTTGATCTAACCGGGAAATAGTCCGAGTTTGCTTTCAAACTGAGCAAATACAATTCAATTTTTGAGCGTAAGCTTTCATTCAAGTCTGTGGCATTATTTCTCCTCCGAGACAATGAGCCAGAATTTGGAAACATGTACATCTTCTTTCCTTTGAACTCTGACAACCACATATTCACCTTCATCTGAAAATATTTAAATTTGCTATACAGGTCTATGATGAACGGTGATCTGCAGGGAATTATTCAGTTGATTCAACAAAACATCACAACTGCAAAACGTAGGATTCGGATCAGTCTCCCACTTTGGCTGAACAAATATTTAAATCTCATTTTTTATTTCTTCACTAAAGAACACTACAAATTCTTCATGCTAGTCATATATGCGTTTTAAGATTTTGCTCTCGGACAACCACCTGACTTCTGTGTGAAGTAACATCTGNGTTAACACCACATATACACGGTGCCAAATCCAAGAAGACTGCTTTCTTCAACATCTGTGTTGATTCAGCAATGATTTCAAATCATAGCTTGTTGAAAATTCTTTAAATTAAAATAATAATTTTTATAAATTTTACTGCCTCAGTGACAAGAGACATGATTTATTTCAAACCTGACAGTCAAATAATTTTTGTTTTGTTTTCTGATGTATTAATTTATTTACCTTTAAAGACATATTTGCCAGCACTTCACAGCATATCAAACACTTTGGTCTTTCTTCACCATTAATAACTCTTGAGGAAAGCCCATATTTCGTAATTTCCTCTTGATATTTCGTTTTCTCCTCTTTCAATGGTCCCGCCATAATCACTTTACAGTTATATCAGTAAGCTGCATACACAACAGCTGTATATTTAGACATAACCACACAACGAAGTAACCTGTAAAATACTATGAAAATGATAAGCGCCGACATATATCATTGTTACGGAACAGACATATGGCTGGAAATTCTAGTTTCACCGTTGGGAATCTTAACATATTATGTGGTTGTAAAGTGAAAAGAAATTAACTGTAAATTTCACTCCGCAATGTAAATTATGATATAAAGTAGAATAAAAGTTGTGCAAGGACTAACAATAATTTCTGGATTGTGTCTCGCAAAGGGACAAAGAAAACAAATCTAGTTCAACTGACATAGTAGATGCAACGGAAATGAACAATATAATCTGATTGCAGCTGTGAAGATCGGTCGGTCGGTCGGTTAAAGATGGCCCTCGCCAGCATAATAACTCTTGTTTTCGAATCCCATCGGGATCCAGGACCAGGATTTTTGTTCGCTCCTAGACATGTACGTGTTTAGAAGTGGCACATATTTTTAAACGAGAGGTGGGGTTTAACTGCTACTGGTCACTCCCGTTCTATTGGGGGTGACTGAGCGGGGCACTCACTGAATAACTAGCCATATCTTCCTCAGTCACACACGCACATACACACATGACCTGTAAAGACCACCCTCCAAAGTGTTAGTAAACGCACGAAAGAAGCTGGATTTTTGCGTAATAACGTTAAACGCAATATATAAATACGAGAGAGAGTAAGTAAATGGGACACAAACTCCGTGGTTTAGTCCGCAAGCGAACTATACCGACAGAGCGACCGCCGTTTGTCGGCGAAGTTAGTAGGACACAAATGGATATAAAACTTAAAACATGTGATATTTGAAACTGGGAAAAAGCATTTATTTCTCGACATATCCTCTACCAATATTGATACACTTGTCCCATCGCTTTAACAGTGCATCGAAACCAGCCGCATAGAAGTCTGTAAGTTGTCTCAGCCACTTCCGTTTCAACGTCTTCGTCATCAGCGAAACGTTTGTCACTCAGTTGTGAACCGATTTACACGACAAACACTTCCTGCAGTTAACAGGAAACATTTATTTACGAATATCCTTTTCATCGAGTTTTCTTGCCCACAGAAATCGCACAACAGATCGCTGCTCTTCAGTAATATACCCTCAAGTACGGACGACATTTTGACTACTACAACCAGCCTTTTAACATGCGCATGCGCGTCTGCTGCTTAGACTGTCGTGAAGCTGGACTGTGCTGCTACCCAGTGACACATATAGAAAACCTAATACATCAATTAACAACGTTTTAGTTCCATTTGTGACCTATTTACTGGCTCTCCTTCGTATTGCATAGAAAATAAAATAAAGGCAACCAACCGATTACACCACTAAAAGCACTTGCACTAAAAGGACTTCGTATACAATTAAATCCGCGCTTTCACGTTTATCAGCCTTATCAACATTCTTTCATTAAAGTGAAAAATAAAATGATTTTGATAATACATTCGCGACCCATCTGAATGTTTCCTGTGACCCAATTTTGGGTCGCGACCTATAGTTCAAGAACCACTGATCTAGAATAAGGCTTGCGCTGTTATTCGAGCTCGTCTCTTGCAAGAATTAACTTCGAACAGTCTTATTTAGGCGTCTGGTTTCTTTCTAATTTATATCTGAAGTGTAGCGGGACACTGAATATCAGTTTATACGTCAACTCACTGGTTCTAAAAGTGTCATCCGCGGAACCCTTAGGGCCCGCAAGATTATTTTTGTCTTTCTATTAGACGCTATAAACAAAGAATACTCTTTATAATATTTTGCAGAATCTGCTTATGCGGAATAATTGTACCTGTACTGGGTACATAGTCACAACCGGACCTTTTTTTTTTGTAAACAACTGCGATAAGAAAACATATAGTAACAGGTATTAAATATGTTTTAAATATGGTACAAACATTGAAACATTTTAAATATGTAATCTGATTTGAATCTGATTTGTTTCATTCTGGTCCGTCACACTAACAATTACAAATACAAAACAACAACGTCCAGTGTGACTATTGAAGTTTTTACTACTTGAAAACTTAGCACCCTTACATGTTTCGGTCCCTATAGACCATCATCAGAGGGACATCGATACTTTTTTGGAAACTACTATCACAATGGGTGTTTTGAGTGTTAAAATACATATACATACAATGTTTGTAATGCACAATATATTCAAAATCCAACTTTTCCTCAACTACAGCAGCTTTCTTGGTATATTGAAGTTTTTAAAGTAACCATTCTTGACCTAGGTACCAGATGGAGGTGAACTGCCAATTTCACGCCCCTGCTTTCTTACTCTTGGGGAAAGAGCCCTAGGTACCCACTGAATAGGAGGCTACGTGGGCCCTAGAGCAAGGTTAGACGCTGTGGAGTAGAGAAAAATCTCTTGCCATTGCTGGGAATCAGAAACCAATCATCCAGCAAATATCCCGACTGAGCTATTCAAGATATTGTAACGGATCCATACTCAGGAGAAGAGCTCCGTGTTTGACTGTGTAGTCAATAGTCGATAAGTTAACGGCTACAGACTCAGGATGTGTAGTTAAGGTACTACACTCTTATATAAGCAAACGTTTTTGTCGAAGTTTTTATTTTTCCCGTTCTAAATCAATAAGAAGTCACCTGCTCCTAGCTGGTCCAGAGCTCTTCTCTGTGTAACGAACAGCAGTTCTGTTGCGGCTGCAGTTCCATACCGCCGAGCTGTTTCTTGACCAGTTGACCATCAGCTAATCAAGAAGGGCTACGTCCCCCACAGAGCAGATTAATCACGTAGTTGGACGTTTATGTGATTTGAGTCACCGAAAGCTGGTTTTGCTCTCATGTTACCAGGAAAGCGACTCTGCGCCGGAGAGACCTTCGCCCGCCAATTCATGTTTCTGGTACTCTCGGCTTTGGTGCAGAACTTTACAGTGAAGGGAACTCCAGGGAAAGCGCTACCCACTACGGAAGCCGACCTGCCGGGCATCATCGTCACCAAGAAGGACATGTGGATCCGGTTGGAGCCCAGGGCTTGACATGGTCCCAACCCACATTAAAAAAGAATATTATTTTCTGGTATGTTACGCCATTCACTTCGGTAGACGTTCACCGACGGTTTCAGAGGAAAGTACCGCCTCCATCTTCTGGGCAAAAAATTAAATCACGTAATCATCCAGCAAGAAGTGAGCAGAGTTTCTTTTTGCTTGCTTATTGCTGGCTGATGGCTTGGTTTACTTTTCTGCCTTGATGTTGGAGGAAGCGCGTTCCTCCGAAACGTCAGTGAAGTTATAATGGATCATACGGTGTCATAGCCCAGAAGATCATACTTATCATAGTCAATATCATGAGAACCTCAAATCCAACAAATTAATTAACTTCGCTTTTGTGACAGAAAGATGAAATGAAGAGTTGAGAGGCCAAAGCAAGGAATGAGACACCACGTGACTAACTAAAGAAGATTAAAAATGTTAAGGCGTAGTAACTATTGATATCACATGAAAATCAACAGAGAAGACGTAACCGCGGTAACGCCAAGAGCGCGGTGATATTTTGTAACCGAGAAAGTGTTGTATCTGTAAGTGAATGTATATGTATGTAACTCGTGTAAACGACACGAAAGGCACCTGAAGATATAGACGGCCTAGAGATTCTCCTCAGGAGCGATTAAGAGATGCAGTTTTATAAAACCACCGTAAGTCAATGGCGATTAGTGACCAACTGAACACATGAAATCAGGGCCGAATAAGATTTGTCCCCCACCCAAGAACATTTTGATCAAAGGGGCTGCGTCCTCCCCCTTAATGAGCTCTGGCTGAGCACTTTATATTTTCTGGTATAAATACAATGCCTCCTGGGGTCGAGGGTGAGACAAATTTCGCTATGCTCACCTGTACCGTGCAACGCGCATGCGTCGATAGTACAGGCGGACGATCATACGGAGGCTTTGCTGATCGTACGAGACCAAAAACGCATTGCTTCTGTTTCTTACTGGCCCAAGCCGACTAAATTCGTCACATGTCTCCGTTGGGCACTTTAATAATCATGCCAATAATTCATCGGACACTGAATCACCACGAAACAATGTCTAAACTAATTCAGTACTTCCTCATAAACTTTTCCCAATGTGCGGTGGCTGTTGAGTACCATCACAAAAATGTTATTCTCTGCTGCTGAAACGCTGTTTCTTAAATTATTGTTAATTCTAAATGTCCAGCATTTATCTGGGGGTTTGTAATGAACTATCATCATTACATGTTTGTCACTCGAAATAAACTTACATTCAAGCGCAGGCGCACGCACGCACACAGACACACGTCTCACAATTGTATTTAATCTCACATAAGAAGCTCAAAACCTTAACACATGCTTTTCTCTCGGTGTAGGTGTGAAAATAATGGTGTTCAGACAGGTGTGGGAGACACGAATATACAGAAAACCATAGGAAGACCGGACATGGGGCCACAATGTGAAGGCCCAAGGGGGCACGGAACAGACTTTTGGCGGTAGGGCGTGCCATTTATCAGACACCAAAATTAAGTGGGAAGAACATGCATGGAAAAGTAAGCTAAGGCTAGGGCCCATGAGGCAAGACTCACCAAGTATTTCTTAAAGCCTAGTACTATTTTTTAGTTTCTTGGTGTGGGGTGAGACTGAGGCTACTTGGTACGTCGGCCACTGTCTGGCCTATTGTAGCAGCCACGGTTGGTAGATGAAGATGAATGTGGAGCAGGTGGTGGAATGAGAATTAGCAAGGGAAACCGAAGTACTCGTAGAAAACCTTTCCCAGTGCCACTATGTCCACCACAAATCCCACAAGACCTGAGTTGGGCTCGAACCCGGGCCACCCAGGCGGGAAGCCAGCGACTAACCGCCTGAGCTATGGCATGACCTTCTTGAAGCTTAACCAACTTCTCTGCTGATTTTGGAACATAAATGTAAACAGGTCACAAATTCGTTAAGCCTGTATTTGTATATTGAGGAGGGCCGCGCCATAGCTCAAGCGGTTAGTCGCTGGCTTCCCGCCGGGGTGGCCCGAGTTCAATCCTGGGTATAGTCAAGTCGGATTTGTGGTGGATAAAGTGGTGCTGGGGCAGGTTATCTCCGAGTACTTCGGTTTCCCCTGCCAATCTTCATTCCACCAATTGCTCCATAATCACCCTCACCTATCATCTGGGGCTGGTACAATAGGCCAGAAGTGGCCGCAGTACAAGGGACTTAGTCCCACCCCACTAGCAATAAAAGAAAAAGCTACATCTAAAATATCTTTTAGGGTTCATCATCATCATCATCATCATCACCAAATAGTGACATAGATTGTAACAACATCATTAGAAAGTTGACAGATCCCATTGACACATGGGAACTAAAGGCTACACACCAGAGATAACCTTGACCACACACAACTTTTCTTCTGTAAAGTCGCCCATTTAAGGAATCACATAACCTCAAAGATGTTTTAGACAATGATTGAAAGTAACCAACATCGCAGGAGTCTCAGGGACCAGAATGATGTCAGCCTGTCAATACAAGCCAGATGCTTCAGAGGGTGGAAAAATGTAAAAGTTATAACACTGAAAACGCTCAATTAGATGACAGAAACGTACTGTTCCTTAATGAAGTTTACGGTAACTTTACATTGAAATGTCATTATAATTAGGGGGACAGACATATCATATTAAGAGTAATGTGACATCCCTGCTACATGATCAACAGACTGGGTGTTCCGTTTACATCTGCTTAACCCAATTACTTTATATGAAGTATCATAAGCTTCATCAATATTTTGCATATAAGTTTCTGTGTAATGCACGCAATTGAAATGTTGAGCATATGATTCATGTGCACATTCCTTCTCACTTCCTCAACCAATGCACTTAGATGTTAAGGGTATCTTCAGATTTCATGCTCATAAGGAGCCACATATTTTGAGGCACAGTACTGTCTGTTTTTTTCTTTAGATAGAATACAAAGTTTGTGTATACAAGTACTATAACATTTAACTGAATACAGCATGTGACAGTGCATTTGGTATAGCATATGGCAACTGGCTACGGGCTGGACAATCAAGGGGTCAGAGTTTGAGTCCTGGTAGGTGCAAGAAGTTTCTCCTCTCCACATTGACCAGGTCGGTTCTGGGGCCCACCCAGCCTCAAATCCAATCGTACCAGGGACAGAGCTGACAGGGAGTGAAGCTGGCCACTCACCTCCATCTAGTGCCAAGATCAAGAAAGCGTGGATCTATACATCCACTGCCCCATGTGTGTTCATGGCCTAGTGCTTCATTAGTAAAGCACTGAAACTTTACTTTACAGTATGTGTTGCCCCTTGAATACATAATTGAATCAAATTATTGTAGAGACAAATAATTAGTTTCTGTAACACGGAATTTCCAAACAGTACTTAACATATTAAAATTAAACATTTGAACATCCCTTCCCTGAAGTTAATTCTACCGTATTGTTCTGCTTCATTTGCAACACTATCTTTGTGTCAGTACATACACAACATCAGTTCATTCATTTTGAAACACTGAAAAATACGTCGAGAAGAATGGCAAGAAATGAATTAGGCAGTGCAAAGACGACTTCATGTGTGATTTGAAGTTACAGTGAGACTGCTATAAATCCGTTGTCAGGATACGACAAATGAAGACTGAGAACCCTAGCGCGTGTGTAACGGTGAACCGTAATGTTTGTAGAATGGCAACAGTGCTATATTGTCTGTAATCCCAAGTTGCGTGAATGTGTAAGGTGCAATAAAACCAATCCAAAACCCGTCTTATAAGCCACCCCTACATGTGACAATATATTTTACGGTAAAGTACTGATATGTATATTAGATAGATGATATTAATGGCATGACCTTCAAGACGAGTTTAATTCGCGAATTCTTAAAAACAAGATTATGAAAGGAAACGCGCGGTCACGATATTTTCTTGTGAAATACAAAAAATAATAAATATAAAAGACCAGAAATAGTGGTAAGTACCTCCGCCGAGATATGAAGCCAAAATTCAAAATCAGATATGTTGCAACTGAGCCAAACCGCTTGGCTATATCCCTGCTTAATATGAATAACCAATTTAACACACACAAGTATAAAACAAACTCCCAGACAATTAAGAATCACATCTCTTATACTTGTGTATGCCGCTGCAAACAGCAAGCCATTTACATGACACTTCATAGACAACCTCTGTATTCTCATGCCTCTCTGTGTCTGACAGCCACTGTATGGAATGCGACAAGCAACATGAATTTATATTCGGTTTATTTGACTACGTGTTCAATATCTCAGTCTATAAAATACTGATAGGATGATTAGTAAAGAATGTGTTGGAAGGGATGTGGAAGGAAACGACCGTAGCCTAATTTGAGGTACTATTTTTTCATTTGCCTGAATAAGAGACAGGAGTGCTATATTCGGTAACATGCAATATCAAGGAAATAAAGTGTAAAATACTCGTCTTATGAAAGTTTACCACGTAAAGTTTTTCCTGTGCTTAAATAAGTACCACGCCATGAAAGCTTGAAGCCCCGGATAATTTACCCCAGGGAAAGAACCCCAGTACCCAACACATAGGAGGCTAGGTAACCCCCAGTGTCGGTCTAGGGGCCGAGGAGCAGAGCAAGATCCCTTGTCGCTGTCGAGAATAAACTTCGATTTCTCGTCGAGAATTAACTTCGATTACTCAGTCGACCAGTGCTACTCAAATCTCTACGTCTACAGAGCTATCCTGACTTCAAAGTCTATCCTATTACGTAAAGAGGGACCACTTAAATTACTTTATGTGAAACACTTTCACATTCATGCAAAAGTTTCACTGCGATTTTCTTGGAAAAAGCCACTTCGTATTTCGTTTCTGTAATATTTGGTTGTGTGGCATTCCGACTTCTGCCTGCCTGGAGATGGCAAAGGCACGGTGCAGGTATCCTACAGTGCACACTGTACATGAAGAAGTACACTGTCTACACGTTATGTATGAAACATTAGCGATATGAAACTTTCAAATTATATCCGATAAATTTTAAGTGGACAATAACTGTACTGAAATAATAATAATAATAATAATAATA